GCCAGTTTCAGGGAGGGGCAGCGGCAACACGAGCCCTGGGACCAGGGGAATCTCTTTGGAAAGCCTGTCTTGGGAGAGTAAACACGTCCCAATGGCACAAAGGCTTATGAAATGTGGGATGGGCAGCTGCAGCAGCTGCAGACTCACACACAGACACACCATCCATCCCCTTGGGCAGCACGAGGGTTCAGGCTGGGTCAGGCTGTCACTGTCTGTACCAGCAAGGCTTGGGGGAAGGGCTGTGGGCAAAAAATTCTTTAAAAAAAAACAGCACAGAGGGAGATGGAACTGTTTTGTACCACAGGTGAGGAGCTCAACCTCCTCTCACTGCCAGCCAGCTCCTCTGCAGCTCTTGAGTTCTCTTCCATCTCTGTCAGCCAGGAGTCCTTAGGCAATTGGTAGATCTCCAGCCAAGCTTCTGTGCTGTCTGCATTGGGAAACCACATTAAGCAATTGGAAACGAGGAGGAAAGGTCTTCCAGGCAAGCAGCCTCTGTTATCTTTTATCCTTTATAAAAAGATTTGTGTATTTTCTGAAATATAAAATCCCTGTGAACTGCATGCAGCCCAACTCTCCTCTCACTTAAGGCTTGACATACCTGATTGAGACTGACAGCTCAGCCTGCAGCTCAATCCTCAAGCTCCCACACCCATCAAAGAAATTCCATTAAGCTACTCAGTGAAGAACCTGACTTGTAACCTCTGAGTAATAGAGTAGAAAGTAGAAAGTGAGGCATGGTCTCACATTAGCTCTCTGCTACATGTCTCATGCTCAGCATGGGTCCAGGCAGATCCCACCAAACACAGGTCCAGAAAACCTGCCTGCCACAGATTCAGTTGCCATGAAACAGAAGAACATGGCAACAAGGAGTTTCTGTATTGTTTTTAGAGGTTCTCTTTGCTCTCTGGCCTATATCTGCAGAGAAAATTCTTCAGGTCCACATCTTTCCAGTGAGCCATAGCAAAGCAGAGGAAGAACTGACCTTGGTACCTCTGGAGAGAGGGAAAGCTGCTATCACTGGGAGCTGGGGACTGTTTTGCAGAGATAATCAAAACTCCACAACTCTTGTGAAAGTTGTAAAGCCAGTATGTTTATTACAGCGCTGGACGCATGGGGGAATTGTTCCCCTAAAATGACATGCGTCCTTCTGGGGACTTAAGGTCCCTTTTTATCCCCCTCTCAGATACATATGCATACAATTTCCCAATAGGTTCATACATGTTCATTTTTATGAATTTTGCGTGACATTTGCCGCTAGTTCTAGAAAGAATTCCTAGGTCAGGTTGACCTGCTCTCACAGCAGTCTCTGTCTCTCTCTACCACCTTCTGTCTCCCTCACCTTATCTCTGTCCTTCACTGAAGTAACTTCACTGAGCCTAGGCCTTGCAGTCAGGCTAAATAGCTATGTTTTCTAACCACAGACTCAACCCAAAAACGTACATTTCACCTAAATCAAAATGGATTTCTACCCTGGAAAATTTCCACTTTGCCTCAGGACGGCAGTGACCGGCTCCAGACAGCTCAATTTTGGGATCAGCCCTGGTGCACACCGAGTGCTTTGGAAGGGACAGGGAGTGTCAGGGGCTGCTCCTTAAGCCAGAGGGGGAACTGGGAGGATTAAAACGGGATCCCTGGCTACCCAGACCACTTGCAGCATTCTAAAAACATTGCTGCTGCCCCTGTGCTGGAACACAGGATTCTCCAAACACAGCGTGTTGCTGCACTTGCCTTGCAGCAGGATTCCTGCATAATCACCTCCTCGGGACAGCACCACCTCCACACAAAGGCTTCGCTGGCTGATGTCCTCCTGCCAAGGAAAAACAGGCTGATCACAGCCAGGCCACTGATTCAGAGAGCTCTCACACAGCTCTCAACAGGCTGAAGGCCTGCTAGACTGCTGGAAGAACAAAAGTAAATATTGGGCAGCAGTCTTGGAGCACTACTGCCTGTGAATAAATTTCTGAGGGCAACTGGTGCTCCTCATGATTGATTACTTCCCAGCCTGTGCACGGAATTAGCTCAGCACTTACCACTTCATTCAGGGCTTTAATGAGCAGGAAGCTTTCCCTGTGAAAGCAGAAGAGCCAGGCAAGCCCTGAAATAGAAATAGAGAAGCAGCAGGAGGAGGGAGAGGAAAGTGAATGAACATTAGCCATGCTCCTGGGAGATGGCTGTTACAACATGAGCAGGATTACATTACTCCCTGAGCCCAAGGAACAGCATCTCACTGTTTCCAGCACTAAACTTTTTGCTGGCTTCCTTGTGCAAGCACCAGTAAAGCTTTGGTTGTGCACAGAGATGGAGAAGCCAGTCTGAAAAGCTTTTTTTAAAAAACACTTTCAGATTCACCAACAAACTCGTATAGCTGCAGGGGCAGCTCACAGGCAGGAGCTCATACTGAGCAAGAGGTCTTCCTGCCCAGCCCAAGATGCTCCTAAACTTCACTGTGCTTCCCCCTCAGCTCTGCAGCTGCCCCTGCTGTGCCCCAAAGCTCACCAGACCCACAGCCCTGCTAATCACAAGGCCCCAGGGCCACTCTGCCGCCCTGCAATCTGCTGGCTGTCCAACGCCCTCTCTGCAGGGCTTTCTAGGAACATTCTCAGCCTCCCTGATGCTGCTCTGTGGCACTGCCAGCTCGGCCCCAGAGCTCAGCTCATCCCCAGCCAGGGCAGGGACACCCAGGGCACACTGACCCATTTCATCCACAGCAAGCAGGACGTGGCACTCGTTGCCCAGGGCCGAGGCATGGAGGGCACAGATCTCTGTCTGGGCTGCATCCCAAGCACAGACATCCTTCAAGTCACACCTGCTGAAGGCAGCCAGACCCACGGACAGACCCACAAAGATGTATTTTCCAGACACTGCAAGGCAATTGGCTCTTTCAGTTACCTAGCAAAAAAGGGAAAGGATGAGTGTACCCACTTGCATTCTCATCAGCCATGTTAATGATGTATTCCTGGCCTTTTCACCAGAAAATGCTGATTTATTCCACAAGGGAAGTATAATAAATAATAAATTTTGACACATTCTTTCCCCACAAGAGCAGGGAAGGGTCTCTCATATCTGTCACAGAGATTGGTCTGTGTTAGGAATGAGAAAGTTTACTCCCATCTTTCCCACAAACAGAAGGGGCTTTAGAGGCCAAGAACTGAGGAGAATTGAGCCCTTCCATTGTCGCAGACATCTTTTATGAAAATTCTTTTCCTTGGGGTTTTTCCTCCTGAGAAGCTGGGAGGCCTCAGGAACAAAATGCAAACAATGATTATCTGCTGCTGTGGAATGCAACAGGTGCATCTGTGATTGGTCTCATGTGGTTGTTTCTAATTAATGGCCAATCACAGTCAGCTGGCTCAGACAGAGTCCCAGTCACAAGCCTTTGTTATCATTCCTTCTTTTTCTATTCTTAGCCAGCCTTCTGATGAAATCCTTTCTTCTATTCTTTTAGTATAGTTTTCATATAATATATATCATAAAATAATAAATCAAGCCTTCTGAAACATGGAGTCAGATCCTCATCCCTTCCCTCATCCTCAGACCCCTGTGAACACGGTCACACTTCCATTCCAGTGGAGAGCAGTGATGGGAGGTGTGACACTGTTGCTGAACTCCCCCAGGCAATCACAGGCACCAGAGTGTCCCCCTGGACACCCCCACATGCTCCTGGGGAAGGCAGCACCTTCATTCTGCCCCCATTCAGCAGAGCTCTCAGAGCTGAGCTTGCCCACTTGTGTGCCACTGCCTAATCACCTCCTCGGCAAACAAGGGTGGAGCCAGCCCGGGAAGCAGAAGGTGAATTTAGTGTTTAATACCTAGAGAGGTGTGATGATTGGGTGGGAAGCAGAACCTGCCAGACAAGCTGGGAAGCTGCAGGCTTTTAAACTGAGCCAGTGAGATGGTGGCTCATTCTGGGGAAGGTCATGAGCAGAAGAATGACAGGATCTGCTGTGGTGGTTGATGCCAGCTCTGTACCTGGAACTCAGCTGTAGGAAAGCATTTTGTGGGCTGCACCTTTCGTTTCTGTGCTTCTCGGAGCATCTCCCTTTCTTCAATGATTTCCACAGCACTCTCAAAAACCTGCATCACCAGTTTGTGGATCATCCTGAAGGGCTGTGGCAGCACATCGCGCTTTCGATCGGGATCCAGCAGGAAGAAATTTTCCTCCTCTTCCTTCGGCCAGTCCTTTGCAGATGGCGGGGGAATCTCCAGGGGATGCTGCCGGCTATTCACTGCCATGGTTCTCCCTCTGCAGATGTAAAACGCACCAGGGATGCAGGAACCACCCTGGATGCAGAAGAACAAAGACTCCTTCAATACTTTCTTGCATGAGGTAATGGGGGAAAATTTGATTTATGATGTCTAAGGGGGTTTCCTTTCAATATTGATAGCCAGAGCAACCCTGCTCTGCACAGCTCAATTCTCCTTGCATCACCTCTGTTTCCTGGGGGTTTTGTCCTGCTCTGGGCATCTCAGCCACACAGGGATTTGCAGGTAAAGAGAGCCCAAAAACTTTGTCACAAGCATGTATTAGAATTATGGCAAAGTATCTAAAAATATTATATTATATTATTCTTCATTAATTACCCAAGACTTATTCGTCCTGGGTAAAATCCCAACGATTAACTCTGAGAGCAGCTGCTCTCTCTGGAAGTTTTATACGCTTCATTTCCAAGACACCGCGTGCTTTCGAGCTCCAGCTCCGCGGCGGGGCCATACGCACACGGGCGCACCTGACCTCGGAGCGGGGCCGGGGGCCGAGGGGCCGTGCCGGGGGCCGTGCAGGGGACCGTGGGGCAGTACCAGGCTCCTCTTTCCCGGGAGGATCCGCCGCAGGTCAGCCGGCGGCTGCGGGGCGGGGGAAGCCTTTAGCGGTGACACCGCCGCTGCTCCGTTGTTGACGGTTGCCGTGGTAACGGCCCCTCGGGGCCGCAGCCCGGCCGGGATCGCGGCGCGCAGCGGAGCGTTCCGCGGCGGGGCGGGGCCCGGGCGCGGCGGGGCGGAGCGGCCGCGGCCCCCGCGCTGCTCCCGGCGTGCCGCCGAGCCATGGAGGGCTTCGTGGGCTTCACCAACCGCTCTCAGGGCCGCGACCAGATCTTCCGGTGAGTCTGGGGGCAGGCGTGCTCCCCGGGAGCCCCGGCACCGAGCCAGGGCCCCTCAGCGGCCCCGCGACCGTGCCCGTCCCGCCCGGCCCCTCAGGCAGCCCGGCCCCGCCGCGGGCCCCGGCACCTCCCGCCCTGCCCGAGGATGGTACCGAGCCTCCTCCGCCGTGCCCAGCCACAGGACAGGAGCAGTGGCCCTAAACTAAAACACAAGTTTGGTTTTTTTCCTCCTCCTCAGCGTGAGGAGGAACTTTTATACATTGCGTGCGGCGGAGCGCTGAGCAGCTGCCAAGGCAGAGCCTGGAGTGTCCCTCTCTGTCTCTCTGGGGACATCCCAAACCCACCTTGTCACCGTGTCACCCCTCCAGGGGATCCTGCCTTGACAGTGGGGTTGTACTGTTCTCCTTCCCTGCCTGGCAGTTCTGAGTCTGTGGAATAAACCTGTCCTGCTGCTGCCATCCTGTGATTGTCCGTGTCTCACCTGTATCCCCCTCTCCTCGTTTTTTCCCTTCCAGAGCCACTCAGTACACATGCATGTTGCTTAGTTATTTAATAGAGAATAAAGCCGATAAAAAGAAGCTGGTAATGAAACTCAAGCAGTTGGAATCTAGCATGAGCTCTGGCCGGAAAAGTAAGTACCCGGTGTCTAGGGGGATAAGAATTTCTTCACTTGCTCCTTCCAGTACAACAGCTCCTGGCCTTGTGTTCCCTGTAGTTAATCTACCTTGAGCCACAAAACCTCTTTTAGTATATTTACAAACTGTCAATAGATCTTATCCCTGCCATGGCTTGCCAGGCTAGGTAAGGCTAAATAGAATTTTTTTTTTTTACTTCCTCAGCCTCCTCTTCACTTAGACAATTGGAATTACTGCTGGAAGGATGAGAGGAATAAGTTAACAAACAAGTTAACAGTCAGCTGTTGCTGTAGAGGCCAAACTGTCACCTCTGCTCAAGGACAGAGCAGGGTTGTGAGGCAAGGCTGGCTCACTGTGTGCTCATTAGTCCTTCCAGCTGATGGGTTGAGACAGCCCAGTGCTGAAAGATCATCATCCCACAAGATCACCTCTGAATGACCATCCTTCAATCTGGCTTTTATATCCTACTTAACATATTAATCTCTTTAGCATTTCTACCCTACTAAATGACATACCCTTCCATGCTTACACTCTGACCATTTGCATCACTCCCTTCTGTGTCACGGTTGCATCCACGGTGATTACACTGTTACTATGTGGGTATCACTTGTTTTCAGCTTGATCTTGCACCCACTTGTCAATTGCTCAATCCTGGAACAACTGCAACACATGAGACAAATATTCTAGTCTATCATATTGCCATGGATTTGTTTATTATTCCATTAGCTTTAGAGTTATGGTCATTTCCAGTGGGGAGGCCAGTTGGTTTATCAGCATAGCCATAATGCTCGTGCTTCTGCTAAATAAATCAGTAATACACACCAGGCCTGAATTCAGGGCTCTTGTAGTTCCACCAGGCTTGAGTGCTGTCAGCATCTGTCACTGTGATAAAGGCAGCAGGGTGTAAAAAGTATTTTCAATAATATTGTATTAACATTCAGGGGCCAAAACCCAAACGGTGCAGAGGTGAAATCAGGTTTGCCATATGTTGTACCTTGAAATGGAATACAGTGTTCCACACAGTTTACAAAGAGCTCCATGTGTCTGTGACAGATTCGTGGCTGAGGAGGGACTTTGGTCCCTGTGCTCAGCACGTGAATCACCAGCTTTCACAGGCACAGAGGCCACCTGTATCTCATGGCTGCAGCAGGATTAATGCAGCAACATCTTCTGTCCACAAAGTGAGGTAAAATGCAGTGCAATGTCCAGCTGAAATTAGAGGCTCTGTTTGTGTTCTGTATTTGCTGGCACTGAGTCCTGCAGAGCCAAGGGTGATATTGGTCCAGAGGGGTGCAAGAACGGAGTGGCAAGAGAGGCTGCAAGTCCTGGCTGCTGACCAGACATGTGTGTATGTCCTGGGCTGGTGGTGTTTTACACATCACTGAGATGTTCACATCCCTTTCCTCACTAATTCTAGCAAGTGCTCAAGCACACACATGCCCAAAGCCCTCCAGGTTTTGTACAAACGCACGCGGACCGTGACGGGCCGGGCCTTGCTAACCTCTGTGGGCTCTCTTGCAGTGTTCAGGCTGGGCAATGTGGTGCACGCCTTGGTGGCAGCCAGGAGAGCTGCAGAGCTGCCAGAGGTGGTGCCTCGCCTGTGCCTCACGGGCTCCCACCTCAGCCGGGCCCTGTACTTCGTGTGCGACGCCGCGCTCTGGCTCCGCAGCGTCGGCCTCCAGCCAAACCTCGACAAACCCAAGTGGCACACCTGGGCCACCAAGTGCTACTACTGCTCCCTGCTGATGAACCTGGCCAGGGACTGGTATGAGATCTCCTGGAGGCTGGAACAGGCTGCGCTGGAAGAAAAGGCAAAGGAGAATTCTGCCTGGCAGAGAGACGGTGAGGAGCTAAACGGCGTGAGGAGCGATGGTTTGCACAGTTTTCTCTGCCAGCTCTTTCAGGTACTGAAAAGGAATCCTCCTTTGCTGCTGGACTTGGTGAAGAACCTCTGTGATCTCTCAGGCCCTTTGGATACGCTGGGAATCTACAAGACCAACCCAGGAGTGATTGGTTTCTGTGGTGTGCTCTCCTCCCTGGTGGGGATCCTCACGTTAGCAAGCCCACATCTGAAGCTGAAACAGTGACATAAAAGGAGCTGCGTAGTATGAGGCTGCAGCTTTGATCCTCTGACAGATTTTTATCTTCATATAGCACTTTCGAATGAACATCTCTTAAAATAATCTCAAGATTAATTTTGTCCTCTGAAGAAGTGGATTCTGCCACTTTCCCTTCCCTGTGCCTTTGCAGATGAGTTTAGTGCCATGACACGCTCACTGATGGGGTGGAGAGAGGAAAAGGCCAAGTAATATTTCACAAACAGAAAGAGGACTTGGAACTTGGCTGCTAGATAAGAAAATATTCCTTTATTTTAATACAGGGTTGTGAAATAACTGCATAGGCAACTGTAATAGGTATATGATTCATGACTACACTAATCATGTTTACACTGGAAAGTTTCAATTCACTAATCCAAGGTCCCTGCAGTCAGATTGTCTAGAGTGAGCTAAGGTGGGTTAGGAGCTGCAGTTAGAGCAGCCTGAAGTCAGGGATGAGTGTTCTGATGGATTTGGGTTGGTGGATGCTGTGCCCTGCAGGTACTGAGCATACTGTGATGGTACTTGGAAATGGTCTCTGGTGTGTGCCCTGCTGGTGCTGGAGCTGCAGTCTAGTGAGTGCCAACTCCTGTCCCAAAAATCTGCACTTTCTTTGTTCCCTTTGATACTGTGAGCCAGGGACTGTTGGCCAGTGACTCTGACTGCTCCAGCAGGCCACAGCTGAGAGCTTTGGTGCAGGACAGCATATTAACTCCCAAACCCCTGTAATTGCAAGCACAATTATTTTCCATTAATGATATTGTGATAAGGAGCTTGTTTTTGTCTTTAAATTTACATGAAAAATTCCAGTGTAATAAGGAGTTTGGAACATGCAGTTAAGGAGAGAAGCCTGGCTCAGAGCTTGTTGAGTCACAAAAACTGCAAGGACATGTTTCTGGTTGTGTAAGCTCCAGGAGGGGAGAGAATGGAGTTTGTCATGATAACATCAGAATCCCTGTGGAAGAAAGCTTTTTACTGGATTTGGGCATTCATGGTTTAGACTTTCCTATCTGGTGCTCCCTCTCCTCCCTGCTCATGACCACATGATTGCTTGTGTGTTCCCTTGCTGGCTGAATGGGTTCAGCCATTTGAAAATGCCTCATTTTGTTGCCCTGCAACTGTGTTATTGTTTATCAGTGACCTTACTGGCAGGGATGGCTGGCAGTGTAACTGGGTTAAAAGAGAAATGCTGTGTCCAGCTCTCTAGCATGGCATGCAGTGTTTGCTGCTCCTGACTTTGCAGAGTACCAGTCTGAAACCATCTGAGACAAATTGCATATTATACAGGAGATAAATGTAACATTTTTCTTCATCAGAGTTAGTCCTGTGTGTTCTGCTGCTTCCTGATGTAAGAAGTCCTTGTTTAATCTGTCAAGGAGATGTGAACAGACTAACCTGGACCAAAGTTCTCTCTTATTATTTCTGATGCTATCTAAAACCAGAAAATTAAAAGGTGTGGATCTCCTTTATTAAAAGGCAAAGGATGTGGAATTAAGTAGGCAGGTGAGGCAGTGCTCCAGTTTACCTGAAGTTGTGGTTGGGCTTGGAATTACTTCCAGTTTGAATATGAAGTGATAGCCTGCCAATGAAGTGTTTGAAAAGAAAGAGGTTGCTGGGCAGGATAATTAAGTGTGTTTGAAGACCAGATGTGGCCTTCAGCAGCTCTTCAATATGGAAATGAGCAGCACTAAAAGTAAAAGCATACTGGCAGTTCAGGCCAAAATGGAGCAATGTGGGATTATATATTATAGGCTGTATTCTAGGCTTCCTCTCCTTTATAACAATGGAATTTTTTTGTTTGTTTCTTTCTCCATTTGTGTTTCATCTCCTGGCAATGAGGAAGCCATCCCTACCTTAGTCAGAGTTGATCATTATCTCAGTGTGTAGCAACCCTGGAAGAAAGGAAGAGGAGTCTTGATCATCTGACAGTGGAGGTTTGACCAGCTTTTGTCTACAGAATTCCATGTTATTGCTAAAAATGTGTTTTCAGTCCCACTCAGGGGAGCTCTCAGATGCAAAATACTTCACAAAACACTTTCACTGGTTTGCCAGCTGGTTTCTCTTTCTCTCTTACACTTTTCAGGGAAAGCCGTTGATAGAGCCCAGTCTCCCTCCCTGTGCCCTGCAGGCAAACACGGTGCTAAGCCCTGAGCCAGGCTTTGATGTTTCTCCCATAGGGCCTGGTGTGGATTAGCTTGTGCAGCCTTATTGAGGGAAATGAGGATGAGCTTTCAGCCTGTCTCAGCCCTGCCTGTCCCATTCTCCATGATGTAGGCTGGAACACACAGGAGTACCTCTCTTTACTAGATGTTAAGCACTAATATTTACCTTCTGCTCCCCAGCTGGAGGCTGGTGATTTAAGGTACCTTAAAATAATGTGACTGAAGCTATAGGATTCTGATCATATGGAGAAAATCCTTTTAGTGCCTTTTTTTATATCTCTTTCTAATATAGCAGTTGGAGTAAGAACAAGATATTTGAACACCAGCAATAAACTGTGATGAGTGTGACACTGTATCTGTGTATCACTTGGAAGGTGGTGCAAAGAGATGCTGAAGGGGGGAGAATTCCTCCCATCTCTGAATTTTATGAAGGGTGACACTTTTAAAGAGACATTGCCTGTGAGGGGGTTCTAGAGCTTTCCTTTTGCAGCAGCCAATTGGCAGCTAGATTCTTCCAGCTAATTTAGAATCACAATTTCAGCTGCAAAACCATTAAGAGATATGTGAGCATCAGGTGAAACTGCATCCTTAGAGTGCCCTGAAACAAGGAGATGTTTTGGGAATTCCTCTGAGTACCAGCAGTGAGAGCTGGAGCCTTGTGGCCAGTGCAGGGGGCAGTGCAAGGGACAGGGGCATCTGCATTTCAGTATCTTATAAACAGCTTTTCATTTGGATGGTCATGGTTTAATGACAAATGCCAGCTCAGGCAAGGAACAAAGGGTGACATCTCTGGCAGAGGTGGCCAGGGATGGAGCCAGGATAACCATTAAACTGAGCTCACTGTTAGCTCCTACTCCCTGCAGTGAGAGTCTTGCAAACTTGGAAGCTCCCAAATGTCAGCTCCTGAACAATGTATAAAGCATGGCATTCAGCGTGCTTTAGTAAGAGTTTCCTTCTGGATTAGTGGCCTCAGACACATTTTGTAATGGAAACAGCCGGAGAGTGGTCATCTTCTCTTCTACTTACAGACAGGGCCTTCCTGACATTAACACTGTGCTGGGCATGGCATTTCAAGGAATATGTGAGCCATTGGGGATTCCCAGGTGAGCATCAACAGCAGGCAAAGGTTAAAAACCAACATCTCCAAGGAGACACCAAATAAACCAGTTCTGTAGAGGAAGTGTCACTAGGGGAGGGTGTGAGTAGTCTTCCAAGTGCCTAAAAGCTTTTCTGCCAAGGGCAAGGCAATGAATCAGTGTCCAAATCCAGGGGACAATACTTTTATATTGCCACAAATAATTAAATCATGCCTTTTTTTGAACTGAAAGTAAAATAAAAAATCTAAATATCTTGTCTAGGAGGGCATCCTTAAAAAGAAACTGGGCAGACATCTGTCAGCAGTGGTTATGGGGTTGCTGATCCTGCATGGAAATGAATCAGATACTTCTCCAGCCCCTTCCCAGACCAAAGGATGAAGGTGCCTTGCAGGGCTTTGGGGATCTGGCTCATCCTCTCACTGTGGTACATTACTGAGTGTGGAGCAGACTGCAGAGACAGAGGTGTGAAGCTGCTTCCCTGCACCCCATGGATCTGGGAGCTCTGAACAGGGAATGTTTCTGGTGCTGGAGTGGTGGGGCAGGGAGGCCGTGGTGCCTTTGCCCTGCAGAGCTAGGGCTGGCACAGCCTTTGTCCCAGAGGAAGGGGAGGGGATGAGCACAGGCTTTAGTAGGGCAAAGGCTGTGCTGGCTCCTGACTCCAGCCAAGGCAGGGAGGAGGTTGCTGTGCCCTCTGCACTTTCAGCCATGCCAGCAGCGCTGGAAAAAGTCTGAGTGCCAAGAGAGCAAACTTTGAAGCAGGCTGGTGCCCTTTGTCCCTCTGTCTGAAGGGCAGTGGCTGACCCCAGCACCAGCTGGAGGCAGCCCAGCACACTCATGTGCCTCTGCACCCAGCCAGCAAGCAGGCACAGCCCCGGGCTGGCAGCAAACTCTGGGCTCTCTGGGAAGCAAAGGGGGCATTTTATTTCCATCTGTGCCTTTCCCATGCCCCAGGGAAGCCTCCCACCCCACACAGAGCAGTGCAGCCACGAGCAGGGAGCCACGGAGCCGTGTTGGGTGCTCACCTCCATGTGCTGAATGGGAGTGCTGGGCAGCTGTGGGCATTGTGAGCCACATGCCAAGGGACACACAGCACCCTGGACTTCTCATCTGCACTGATCTCCCTGATTATTGCCTTGTCCTCGGGCATTTGTCCTCTTTCCACCACACTGTCCTCATCTCATCAGTGTGGCTCATCTGTAGTCAAAAACCAAAGCTTGGCATGGTCCCATACAGGTGGTGTGGTCTTCGTTTCAATCAGTACCAGAAATAGATTTGTTAACAATGGTGTGAGTCCTCAGTGTGCCTCCTGTGCACTGAGGCCATGGGAGAGCAGCATTTTAGTGAGGTCACTGCTGGCTGGTCAAGGAGGGCAGCTGTTCCTCTACAAAGCATTTGTGAATCCACATTTGGGGAAACATGTCTTGTTTTGGTCCCACCATCACAGAGACATCTTGAATAGTCTTTCATGAGAGGGCAAGGCACTCAGGGTCATGGAACACAGGCTGCACCAGCACCAAATTGGGCACAAACTCTGCTCAGAGGTGCACAAAGCAAACATAGGAGATGTCAGGTACAGCAAAGAAAATTCCAGCTGGACATTAGGAAAAAACAGTTTAACCATTAGTATGGTTAGCACAGAGACTGGGCCTCAGAGAGAGAGGAATCTTCTCCCTAGAAGTTTTTAAGAGTGGACAAGACCAAGAGCAGCCTGATCTGGCTTCAAGGGTAGAGTTTTGAACTCTGGCTTTGAGCAAGAGTTGAACAAGGTTATCTTCACTTCCAAACTGATCTTTTCTCCATCTACCCCAAATGCCTAAAGCTTTCCTAATGCAGTGTCTGCTCTGACCCCCAGCTAGAGCCTCCTCACCAAAAGCCTCATGAATCATCTTAGAAATTGCAGACCTGCCCAAACCAGATTGCTTCAAGCAGAATATGTCCCCCACATCTGCTTTCTGCTCCTTGTGCTCAGTAAACTCTCCTGGGGAGAAGCCACGTTCTTGGTCTATGCTAGGTTTCCCAGCAGGATCATACCCTGGTCCATCAGGAGGCGCAGCAGGGCTTACAGAAACACAGGAAGGTTTTAATCCCTTAGGAAACCCTGACTCTTCCCCTTCTCCCTGTCTGCCCATGATCTGCTGCTTTGGAGGTGGTGAGGTCCCAGGGCAGCTCCCTCTCCTCTTGTGTGGAAGGAGAGGCGTTAAACCCTGGAACGTTCCAGCTGTGCTGCAGCTGCTGCACTCTGCGGGGAAGGCAGCAAAGGGGATTTTCTGCCGTCATCTGCTCCCAATTACGGTGGTTTCAGGGAGCTCCTTGGCCCGTTTCCACCACGATCCCTCAGGTCCCGAGCCCACGCAATGGGAGGTGGGGCCTGGTGGTGATGGTAGTGGCCAGAGCACGGTGCCTCACCCTCACAGCACCAGGCTGAGGGGACACTGCAGACACCACTCTCTGCTGCTGCTCTGCTGGGGACAGGCTGGCCCTCGGTGAGTAGTCTGTGCCCGCTGGGTGCTCCAGGACAGCTTCAGTGGGACCAGCAGGGATCACCCATTCTCTCTAGATGTCCAGAATTTCATCTGCTGCTAAGAAAAAGGGGTCTGTGCTGGGGCTGGAGCTATTTTCACAAGGATGAGTGTTGGTATTTTGAGCAGCAGATATGTGCAATGCGAATGCTGACCTCAGCTGGACATCTCACCACATCCCTACCCACCACTCTTCTGTCTGCTCCTGTCCTGCCTTCCTATCCCTCCTCAGCCAGAGTCTATTCTCATGCACATCTGTTACCATCCTGGTTGCTCTGAGTTTGCTTTTCCAGCATACTTTATCCTGCCCTTACCATAACTTCTCTAAACTACATGCCTCTCAACTAATTCTTTTGTATCTTTGGGTGTTAAGGCACACGAGCAGGGCAGGGCTGCATGGAGGCTTTGGTTTTACAGTTTAACTGGTAAAAAGTCAAATGTTGGGCAATGCCACATCCATTGCACCCACGGGAGCTGTGTGTCAGCCCAGCTGCTGTGCTTGGGGGATGCAGGAGTGAGGGGGAGCCCAAGCCCAGCCCTGCTTTCAGGCAGAGTCTGCGGTTCCCAACTTTGCTTTGCAGGTGGGTGCGCCACAATGACGGTGAAGAAGACTCAGGCTCTGCAGGATGGAAGTGCCAAGGTGGGTGCAGGGAAAGGGAGAGAGAAAAGGGCAGAGGTGTGCCAGGGGGGCCAGGTAGTGTGTGCTGACTGTGCTGGACGAATACCAGCCACACCTCATGCTGTCTCACATGTTCCCATGTTCTCTTTATATGGATCTTTACCTGCAGTAGTATGGAGCATCATCAAAGAGAAAGGATAAACCTTTTTTGCTTGCTTGAAATTAAATAGTTCAGATTAAAAAAAGTTAACCTTGAGCTGATGTAAGCATTGAGTTAGCTGCCAACTGTGCCTGTTCTTCAACTGTGCCCCATTTAGTCCCCAGATCTCCAGCATGGAGGTTTCCACAGGGTGGAAAGCCAGAGGGAGCATCTAAATAGTTGGGCTTGTGTGACGGTGTTCACAGGGGTTTTTGGTTGAGGGAAGAGACAAGGATCTGACTCCTTGTTTCAGAAGGCTTGATTTATTATTTTATTATATATATTGCATTAAAACTATGCTAAAATAATAGAAGAAAGGATTTCATCAGAAGGCTAGCTAAGAATAGAATAAGAAAGAATGATAACAAAGGTTTGTGTCTTGGACAGAGAGTCCAAGCCAGCTGGGCTGTGATTGGCCATTAATTAGAAACAACCACATGAGACCAATCACAGATCCACCTGTTGCATTCCACAGCAGCAGATAATCTTTGTTTACATTTTGTTCCTGAGGCATCTCAGCTTCTCAGAAGGAAAAATACTAAGGAAAGGATTTTTCATAAAGGATGTCTGCGACAGGCTTGAGATATTGGAGGAGTGGAGAACGACCCCCCTCAGACACTGCCTGCAGTGTCCCTGCTCCCTCAGTGGCAGCAGCCCCCCTATTGTCCTAATTCAGCACACCTGGCAGACCCTCAGTGGGGCTAGAGTAATACCCTTCTACTCCTCCTCTGCAAGCAAAAGTGAGTCCTCAGTGTGCCTCCTGTGCATTGAGGCCATGGACGAGCAGCATTCTAATGAGGGCACTGCTGGCTGGTCAAGGAGGGCAGTTATTCTTCTACAAAGCATTGATCCTCTATAAAGCATTGATCCTGTACAAAGCAGTGATCCTGTACAAAGCAGTGATCTCTGCTCACTGCAACGCACCGAGAGCCAGCGGTGTGCGGGCAGCGGGGCGCTCCTCAGGGAACTGGGGCGCTCCTCAGGGCATTGCTGCTGGCTCACCCATGTCCACCCACCACGCAGGAGAACGTGCTGCAGAGGGTGCTGCAGCTGCCCGTGGTGAGCTCGACGTGCCAGACGCTGCAGCGCAAGTACAGCAGCACCAAGGAGTCGCACCCGCTGATGGCCTCGGTGTGCGAGGTGTACGAGCGGGGCGTGCAGGGCGCCGGCGCCCTGGCCATGTGGGGCATGGAGCCCGTGGTGCGCCGCCTGGAGCCGCAGTGTGAGTCTGTCTGCCGAGGGGGGACGTGGCAGGGGGGCACAGCAGGGCTGCTCGTAGTAGGGCAGTGCTGGCACAAGCACGGGCCTGGCACAGCCATGGGGTTTTCTTACCGTGCTTTTGCCCAAGCAGTCGCTGTGGCCAACAACCTGGCTTGCCGGGGCTTGGACCATCTAGAGGAGAAGATCCCTGCTCTGCAGTACCCTGTTGACAAGGTAAGTCACAGGCAGGACTGTCACTCTTACACTGAGAATGACATTGGAACAGGCAGTATTGTAGAAAGAGCAAAGAAGGCTTTATTCAAGAGAACCACACAGTTTTTATAGAGGGATACAATACATTCTATTAGATTGGCCAGTTAACAAAAACACCTTCCTCATACACCATCCTTGAGAAGAACAGAAAGACAAAAGTAGTAAAACACCACCTGCAGATTGTTTATACTTAACAAGTTATCACATCCTTACAGCTCCCTAAAAATTCTCACAAGGTGCTGTGAGAAACGCTTGCTCTTTCTCTCTCTGTCCCATGGCATCCACACAGGACAGTCTGGGACCCCCCAGCCCCTCTGAAAAGCCCACAGTACATCTCCTCTAGTCTTGTTTCTGGATGGTGACAGGCTGCTGGCTGGGAAACAAGGCAGCATCTCCAAGTGAGAGCTCCTCCAAAGACCTCTGCAACCTAAACGATGGTTGGGGCTCCCAAATATAAGTCAGCCACGTCCTGTGTCCCATCCCTGCCAGCTACCTCCAGCCCAGGTTGGAGAGAGCTGTTATGCCCCTCTTGCTGTCATGGACATGGCTGGGGTCCCTGCAGTCCCTCTGGCTGTCCTATACCACCCCAAGCACACCAGAGGGGCTGTTCTTCATCTCTCTGCCCACAGCTCGCATCTGAACTGAAGGACACCATCTCCTGCCCCCTCCAAAGTGCCAAAAGCACCATTGGCAGCTCCATGGATAAGATCATCGAGCTGGCAGCGGAGGGCTATGAGGCCACCAGGAGCACAGTGGAAACAACAGCCAAGTACACAAGGAAGAACTCAGTGACCCAGATGGCAGCTGCAGGGGTCGACACAGCCCTGGGAGGGCTGGAGAAGCTGATGGAATACCTGCTGCCTGAGGAGGATGAAGAAGCAGGTAGTCCTGATGCCCAAATCCCCTCTGAGGGAGTCTGGTCGCAACTGGCTGGGTGGCTCCTCAGTTGTGGGGTGCATGGGGCAGGAGGCAGCCCCTGGATTTTGGCATAAGGCTGCCTAGGAGGGTTGTCCCACCAGAATGTAACCATTCTTCTGCCTGTACTCTTCTATCTTTAGATAAGAAGCCCAAAAAGAAACATCTGTCAACACCAAAGGTGTCCCAGCAGCAGCCCAGCACTACCACCACCACTCCCAGCACTCCCAGTGCTCCCAGAGCTCCCAGTGCTCCCAGGGCTCCCAGTGCTCCCAGGGCATACAGCGCATGCAGCACACCCAGCACTTCCAGCACTCCCAGCACTCCCAGTGCTCCCAGTGCTCCCAGTGCTCCCAGCACCCTGGGCCGGATTGGTGCTTTGGTCAGCACCGTGTCCCACCGCGCTTACCAGCAAACCACCCAGAGCCTGCAGCGGGCCAAAACCAAGGGGCAGGAGCTGGCCTCCTGGATCCCCATCCTGGTGAGTGCCAGGACCCACCCGCTGGGCTCCTGCTCCCCCATCTCCTCTTTTGAGCTGATTTTGCTTCCAGACAGGACGTTTCAGGCTCCTTGGAGCAAATCTGAGCAGAGTTCACTTCCCCTGCTCAGCAGGACAAGCTGGGGCTGGCGGTTCCTGCGTGATGTTCACACATAACCATGTACCACATTAGTGGGACGAGTTATTTTTAGCAGGTTCCCAGCATGTAATTGTTGATTTATGGCCTTGCCATAACATCCTTCCTAAAGTAAAAAGCCCCTGCAGAGACCCAGAGGGGATGGGGAGAAGGAGGTGTTTTTCCTACCCTGTGCTGCAGTGGGAACAACTTCCCTGGCCTGCACCAAAATCCCAGAGCTCCCATCTACCCTCAGGGTTTCTCCCCAGATGCACAAATGAACTCCCTGTGCACCCCTGTGTACCTCAGGCTAAAAGGACGGAGTGGGACGGGCCAGCTCCCTCTGAGTGGTGCCTTTTTGCTCCCTGGCAGGGAAGCCTGGCCAAGCCGAGTGCCCCTGCAGCCCCCCAGCCCCGCAGTGACGGGCAGGGCTGGCTGACCCGGCGCCACAGCAAGGCACCCGAGCAGAAGCAGGAGAAGGCAGGCAAGAAAGACACCAACCATGCCAAGGTATGGAGAAAAGCAGAGCAGTGAGCTGGGAATGCTCCAAAGCATCCCCCTACCCATGGACCATGGAGGATGTTCCCCCATACTTTTGGGGCCTCTATCCCTGCTCAATCCTGAAATGCAGCTTGGAGGATGCAAGAGGGGGGTGGCAGTGGGGCAGCCCCAGGAGACCCTTCCCTTTCATCAAAGCTGGGAGCTGTGGGCAACCTCTGTGCCAGGCAAAATCACCCTGGCTTGTATGTTCAAAACTGCTTTGGAGCTGTGGGATGCCAGCACTGAACTCCCTCCTGAACCTCTGAACACCCCTGAAAATCCCCTGCCGTGGTGCCAGCAGGGAGGGGCGGTCTGAGCCGGTGGGGCTGGGAACAGCTCCTGCCTGGCTCCGCTGGGAGCTGGGGACGGGAAGCAGCAGGTTGGGGTCAGTGCCCTTTGCCTCGGCCTGCAGCGGAAGCACAGCCCCGAGCAGAGGGTCCCTGGGGCCCGAGTGGGGGGAGCTGGCAGGGACAGGGAGAGACCCTGCAGCAAAGGGCTGCGGTGGCTTTTGCACAGCAGCCAGCTGAAATCTCTCAGGCTTAGAGCTGCAAAGGGGATGGGGAAACCAGGGCCACCCCTGTCCTGTCCTGCTGGCGGTGGGGCAGCCCAGGAGCTGAGCGGGTTTCTCTGGGCAGGCGGGACAGGAACCCGGGCTCGTGGGCAGCGTGGCTCACAACCTGCAGAGCGCCTGCGCCTCGAGCATCTCCAGCGTGAAGAAGGTGCCGGCCGTGGCCTGGGATGCGGCAGAGGGCTTGATCCTCTTCACGCCCCGCAGGCTGTCCAGGGCCATGGAGACTGTGGATGCTCTCGGGGGGACCCTCGTCAGTGCCCCTAAGCATCTGCTGGGCACCCTGTACAGCTACGTGCCGGTGAGTTTGCCCCCAGCCAGGCCCTGTCCATCTCCTGCAAATCCCATTCTGCTCAATCTCCTGCCATGGGCACCCCACAGCTGCAGGCAATGTCAGACTGGGGAGATGCCATGAAGACACCTCAGTCCCACCCTCCTCTTGAGCATCCCCAAAGCCATGACAGTGAGTCCCCCAAGAGAACAATGGGTCAGACAGTGGTGACACCTTCACACAGTTCATGCCCAAGCCAAGGTGTGACCACATTCCCAGGAAGGTGAAATTTCAGGCTGAGACCCTGTTCTCTCTCCTTTACCTCAGCCTGTTGTTCCCCTGGGAGCATTTCTCCACCACAGCTTTTCAAGGACTGCAAGCCACCCACTCCTCACCATTCTGAGGGCAAACTGGCTTCTCCTGAGGTTCTCCCAGTTTAAGGGGGGCTGTGCAGCACAGGGGGAGCAGGGCTGGCAGGTGGCTCCACCTGGCTGGGCGCTCACCCCATCTCTCAGCTCCGCAGGCAGTCAGTGAAGGAAGAAGAAGCATCCAGGGCCAGCAAGACCAACATGGAGAAGAAAGAGAAGAATGAGAAGGAGGAGGAGGAGGAGACCAAGCCCGCTGCCCCCTCCAGTGAGGAGAAATCGCAGCTGAGGAGTGACTGGCGGCTGTACCGTGGCCATCACCCCCTGTCCTTCCTGGGGCTCGAGGACCCCCTGTTCCTGCGGCATGGCTACTACCGCAGCCCTGCCCTGGAGCCCGAGTACCCGTTCCCAAGGAAATCCGCCTTCTCCCCCTACAACAGGCGGGTCAGCGAGGGCTCCTACCGCTTCAGCCCCGAGTCCATGTACAGCCGGGCCTACTACGGCAGCCTCTACAGCCCTGTCTACAAGAAGGACTGAGCCAGAGGGCAGGACAAGCATGCCAGCCCCTCTCCAATGCCCTCAGCACGCTTAGCCTGGGCCCCTGCCAGCTTCCCACACACACCCCTGCTCCAGGACAGGAGCTCCAAGTGGTAGACAGGCCATGGGATAGCTTATTCTGGAGTGCATCAAGGCCAGGATGGGGGAATAAAGCCAAACAAAAGCCCTGCTACCAGAAGGAGAAGGTAGGGGAAGGTGGGACTAGGCAGATGAAGGAGATGTGGAAAGAGCAATCACCCAGGGCTGGCACTGGGCTACCCTGGACCCTGCTCAGCAGACAGGGTGAACTTATATTGTTTACACATTGAGAGAGAGAGGGGAGGATGGGAAAGCTGTCAAACATCACCATGGCAAGCCTGCTTCCCCATCCTTCCTCCCTCCATCCCCCCTTGCAGGGCACATCCCTAGGCACAGATTGCTCCTCCATGGCGAGGCTGAAGATCCCCACCACCCAGCAGGATTCATGAGTGGGAAAGCCCTGGGCAATGCTCTCCCAGCTGGTGGTGGGATGGATGTTGGGGTCAGGAAAAAGAACAGGTGGAGCTCCTGGAGCCCCTCTCCCACAGGATCACCTGGCTTCCCACAACACCTTGTTGCATCTGCTGCAATAATAAACCTGCAATAATAAACCACCTGGCACTCACCCCATCTGCTCAGCTTCTTTGTGGCAGGGAGACACCAAACTAAGGGAACACAGTGGGGTGGGACCCCCAACTCAGAGCCAAGGGAGTGGGTGCGGGAAACATCCTGTTACATTCCCTGTGGGTAGCTGCCACTGGGAGAGTGGGTGCTCATGCCCAGCACGGTACGTGTCTCTTCCCATGCCCCAAGTACAAATTCACAGCTCCAAGGAGCCGGGGCTTCCTGCCAAAGACAATTTATTGCATTTCCAGAAGAACACAGCAGAGAAATCAGTGTCCCTACAGCACGCACAAACCCTCTCCCAATACACTGCTTTCCCAGGGCACAAAGAGAAGGGTTTGGGAGAGGCAGGGAAAAGCCTCCCAGCAGCAGAGGGGTCAGCGAGCCCCTTTCCCCAGCTCCTTTCCTCCCCGGGGACAGGCAGCCCTGCAGGAGGAGCGGCTTGGGAAGGCTCGTGGTGCAATTCCCATGCTGGGAACGAGCCCCGCGCCTGGCTTTTCCCAGGCACAGCCTGTACAGCGCCCACCCGCACAAGGGAAACAAACGGCTGGGATGGCTGCAAGGCTGTGGGGGAGAGAGAGGGCTGTGAGCACGGCTGCTCAAAAGCACGGCAAGGGGGATGGGAGGCACCAGCCTGCACCAAATTCCCCATGATCACCAGTGCCCTGGGCTCTGATACACACGTGGGAACTACCAGTGCCTCCCCAGTGGGGAAAGCACCACCTCTCCAGCTCATGGGTGCTCCAGGGTTACTGAAGAGGATCCTGATGAGGGTAAAACAGGAAGAAGGGTCCCAGAGTAGGAGTGGAGAGACAGGGAGTTGTGTGCTGTACAAGAGCAGGATGCTCTCCCTCACCGCTGACAGCCTGGGCAGCTCCTGCTGCAGGAGCTGGGGATGCTGCTGCCTGGAGCTTTGGCAAAATCCCCCCGTGGTTTCCAGTGTTGGAGGATGGAAGGAGAAAGCAGGAGGCACCCAAAGAGCTGGTACAGCAAAGAGATGAGACTGTCCCACCGCAGAGCCAAGAGGAACCCACTACAGTCCTCGGCTGCACTGGCTGTGCAAGGCAGCACACGCAGACCCTGACACGAGGAGGACAGCAAGAAACCTGTCATACCTATGGAAGGATACACACCATGTCCATGGGCACCCAGCGAGGGGCCCTGGCCCAGCTGGGCAGCACAGAGAGCAGCAGCAGCCCTGCAGGGGCTCAGAGGGAGTCCGTTCGCTTTCGGGCAAACACAGCCGACATGGTCTTGACGATGCCCCGGATCCCTGTGCCCTTCTTCAGGGCCAGCTTGGTGTCTGGGATGAGCTTGGCCAGTCCGTGGAAGACCATGAGGGCCCCGTGATAAGCCTCAGCTGCAGAGACCTCGTAGAAACCGCAGTCTAAGGAGAGGGCCAGGAGCCGGCCCTCCTCGCTGGACACCGCCCGCTGGTGGTGCAGGTCCCGCTTATTGCCCACAATGACAATGGGCACCTTCTCCTGGCTCTGCCCCTCCTTGGCAGCCTTGATGAACTGCACTTTGAGGGGCAGGATGTTGAAGCTGGCACGGTCACAGATACTGTAGACCAGGACAAAGCTGTCGGCCCACTGGATTCGCTTCTCCTCCGAGGAGCCATCCTCTGCCTGCTCCTGGGGAAAGAGAAAAGGAAGGGTTGTTTTATTGGAATCCCTCCCTCCAGGCCTGACTGATGGAAGAGGGCAATCCTGAGCCTGTCAGGACAGAGAACAGCGAAAGGGCAGAGAGGAAGAGGAGTACCAAGGAGGGCAGAGCAGCACCTGGCTAGCAGAACTAACCAAGGGGGGATGATTCAGCTTTCACCATCACACCCTAATCCTAACCCTCACCCAGCTGCCAAGCACTGCAGGCTGTAGGTGATAACAGTGCAGGGACCTCAGAGCAGCACCTCTGCTTCTTTAGCACAGTCCTGTATTCCCATCAGTGCTTCAGCTGCAGTGTTCTCAGCCAGAGGGCCATGGGCTATGGTAACTATTGCTACCCTGTCAGCAGCATTGCTCTCCTGTGCTTGGCAGCTGAGAAGAGTTCTTATGAACCCTCTGATTTGAAAGCCTTGCTCAATTGAACCTCCCAGCCTGTGGTTCCCCATAGGTAACTTCCAGTAAAGGGGTTTTTGTCCCTGGGGTAGAAAGGGGTGATAGGAGTGGAGCTCTCTCACCTGGGAATTGGGGACATCCCAGATGTGTAAGAGAATCTCTCGGCCATCCACAGTCAGGTTGTGGCTGTAGATGAATTCTGTGCCCCCAAAAAGAAAAAAAAAAATCGTCATCTTCATGGTGCCACCAGCTGCCACCCTGGACCTTTTGCACCCCAGAGAAGCAGTTCTGGAGCAAAGAGACGGGTCACTGAACAAATACAACACTGAGCCCCTGGGACCAGGCAGATGCTCTGGAGAAAGGCAGGAGAGGATGGGCTGCAATGAAATTCCACAGCAGAGCTGTCTCTGTACCCAGTCCCTGCTGGGAACTGGCCTGCCCTGGCACTCACCCATGTCCCCGTACTCTCCAATAAAGCGCCGGGTCAGGAAACGCACAGTCAGAGCTGCAGACGGAAGGACAGGAATCATCAGAATAACCCGAAACCTGGAGGATTCTCCCTTCTAAATCCAGAGCAGAGTCAGGCACCATGCCCTTGTAAACTCCTACAAGCAGCAACGACCTCTGAGTTTCCCCAGCCACCAGCAGGTCTGTGAGTGCAGCAGAGGCACAGCACGAACCAAAGCATCCGCACGAGCCGGAGCATCAGCAAACTGCAGCTCAGTGCAAAATACCTTCCCCTGTCATTGCCCGGCTGGCTACGAGGTTGTGCTCAGCTTCCCCACCTTGAACCACAGCTGCACCCCAGGGCTCAGCCCTCTCTCACGAATTCACTCAATGGGCTGCTCCCTGCCACTGTCCTCCAAACACTGCTGCAGTTTCCAGCCTGCTACAGCTCACCGCCAGCGCTCACCTGATTTCCCTACGTTGTCTGCTCCCATGACAAGGACGTTCGCTTCCATCTTCAGGGCAGCGGGGCCAGGCACCTCCATGAGGGCAGGGTGGTCGGGGGTGAAGCTGGTGCTGCGGCGCAGGGGGAGCCGGAGCCCCATGCCGAGCGTGGCCGAGCCCCTCGCACGGTCCCAGCCGTGTGTCCAGCCCGGCTCGGCACAGCCGGCAGCCCAGCGCTTCCCACGGCACCCGGGGGACCCGCCAGGCCCATACCCCTCCCTGCAGCCGCAGGGGCGGTGCGCAGGGAACTGCAGGCAGCCGGATGAAAAACTTTGTCATCGCTCGGAGTGTCCTGAACATACGTCAGTGGCTAAGCCGGCCCTGCCAGCCCCCAGCGCGGCGGGCGGCCGGGAAGCACCAGCTGTCGGCACCAGCTGCTCGCAAGTCGCATCCCAGGAGGGACCCACGCCCCCACCCCAAAGCACTTTGTGCCTCGGCAGGGCCACGCAGCCCCCTGTCTCTTCCGCACGGTCATCGTGGGAATGTCACCCGGGAGTGCGGGAGTGTCACCGCTGCTGGGCTGGATGAAGCGGCTGATGAGAGACCTGAGTCCCTTGTGGCTGGCGGAGCATTTCATGGGCTGCGGAACTTTGTTTCACCAGCGATGGAACACTCACGATTAACGGAGCGCTGCCTCGCATGTGACGAAGCATCTCACGGGGCACGGGATCCCCAGTGAGTGAGTGAGTGAGTGATGAAACATCCCAAGAGTGATGGAGCATCTCCCGAGTGATGGAGCTTCTCTGGAGCAACTCCCGCAGCCGCGGGCATCCCCCGCTCCCCAAGGCTGCTCTCCCCGGGGTGCGGCGAGGACCGGCTGCATCCTCCTCCCGGTCCCGCATCCTGCTCCCTGCCCTGCCCTTCCCGTCCCGTCCCGTCCCTTCGGGAGGAGCCGCTGACGCCATCGCGGCGCGCCGGGCGCGGCCATGGCGGCGGAGGCGGCGGTGGTGCGGGTGGCGGTGCGGGTGCGGCCGCTGCTGCCCCGGGAGGCGCTGCGGGGACACCGGCCGTGCCTGCGGAGCGATGCCGCCACCGGCGAGGTGGAGCTGGGCCGCCGGCGGTTCCGCTTCGCCGCCGTGCTGCCCGAGGCGGCGGGGCAGGCGGCCGTGTACCGGGCCTGCGTCCAGCCGCTGCTGCGCGCCTTCTTCCGCGGCTTCAACGCCACCGTGTTCGCTTACGGACAGACGGGCTCCGGCAAGACCTACACCATCGGGGAGGCCAGCGTCGGTGAGTCTCGCTGGGACCGGCGGCTCCGTGCCCGCCAGCATCCCCATTCCACCAGCATCCCTGTCCCGCCAGCATCCTTAGTCCACCGGCATCCCTGCTTCT